GACGGCCTGAAAACCCGAAAAACCCGCAGTTTTTGCCTTTTATTTCGCAAGTTTTTAGATGTAAGTGTGAACTGTGATTTTCAATGTTTTAACAATGGATTCAGACGACGATTTTTCAACGCAGTTTCAGCATCAAAATAAACAGACTTTCGAGGCCCTTAATTGAAACTAATGGGTTTTTAGGCCGTCGTTCGGTAGAATTTCTTCCTGACGTTTCGCAAGCACGAGTGGCTTGCATCTTCAGAAGTGTTTTGCTAGAACGCTTACGCTGCGTTCAAGCAAACCACTCAAATGGCCTCGAAAGTCTATCCCTTTTGATACATTAATTACATTGCGATTTTTCATTTCCATTCGAACGCATGTTTATCACAGGTTTTTTTCGTTATTTGTTTGTTAAGGGTTCGCTTTTTACTTAAAATTCAAATGGGGTTTTAACGACAATTAAATACATATTCTCATCAGTTGTGTCACACCCTGTAAATACAAAACGAGTGTCTTTATCGCCCTGTATAATACATACATATTTACATGTAATGCGTGCTTTTCAGCAAAAAAACAGTCTCAATCAAACAAAATTAATTCAACATTAGCATGAATTAGAAACTTAACTTCGCATGCTTTGTAATTGGCTCGAGTTAAATCCCGTTTAATGCGCAATTATTGTTTAAAGGTAGTTGAGAGATGCCTGGAGGATTACGGAATAGATAACGTATTTTTGAGCTTCAATGGAGGCAAGGATTGTACAGTTTTGCTGCATCTGGTGCACACCGTACTGTGCAGAAAATACCCGAATGTGAAGGACCAAAAAAAGCTGTTCTGCTTGTATGTGCGGAGCGAAAACACGTTTCATGAACAGGATGAGTTCATTGAGCAGTGCCTGATTTACTACAACTTGGAGGTGAAAAAACAGCGAAGCATTCAGAGAGTTTTGTTTTAAAGCGGTTGAATTCCAGATCATGAGTGTGACCGCTAATATAAAGGACGCATTAAGGATCACGATCAGCAAAAAGCCCCATCTGAAGGCCTGTTTTATGGGAACTCGCAGAACTGATCCGTTTTGCTCCCATCTCAATGCCTTTCAGGTATTTTCTCCAATAATGCAGCCAACAGTTTTTACTAAAAAAAATGAAATTTCAGATGACTGATTCAGACTGGCCGGAAATAATGCGCTGCAGCCCCTTCCTCGACTGGCACTACTCAGATATCTGGGATTATCTGCTCTACTATAAGGTGCCTTATTGCAAACTGTACGACTATGGGTTCACATCGCTGGGCAACACTACGAATACCATCCGTAATCCGAGCTTGATTTGTGCGGAAAGCGACAAAGACATCTATTTGCCTGCCTATAAAATGCTGAGGGAAAAAAATGAAAGAAGCGGCCGAAATGTGAGCAAGATGTAGACAATGGTTACACCCAGTAGATCTGTATGAGAACTTTTATTTAATTGTTACGACTACTGTAAATAGACGCAGTTGTTATAAAAGGGTTTATTTTTCGTCCAAAACCCGCACATTCTTTCAGCAAAGTGTTTGAACAGCAATTTCGCGCAGTTTTTACGTAATTCTGATAACACCTGCCTGGCGAATAGCAGAAAGCTGACGCATTATTGAACGAATCGTTATGCAAAAGTATGCCAATTATATACAACAGGTATCGATAGCTGTTTGTTTATCTACATGGAGTGTGTTTGATAAAACAAAATACTACACGTGTATACGTGTGTAAGTTGTTTGCATGCAGGCAGTAGTGTATGTATCAGGTTTTTGTTTATCGGCACACTAATTGAGCACTTTGCGCTTTTTTGTGGATAGTTTAATGTTTAGTGGTTCCCGATATCACTTCGTTCGTAATAAGCCCGATACCGTCATTACTGSCGAAGGCTGTTTCTTAGATCTGTYGAGTAATTTTTTGCTACAAGGGCACACTTTTAAGCACAACTTTCTCTGGTTAATGGARAAACTAATCCAAGTGTGACCTTATATTAATAACAGTTAAAATATTTATCAAAAGAGACTTTCGAGGCCATTTCTTGAAACTAATGGGTTTTTCGGGTTTTTAGGCCGTCGTTC